TATGTACTAAAGCATAATTGATATGAGTAAATAATAAATGTGCTGAAATGCACTTAAGAGTCTTACCTTTCCAGAAGAAGGATCAATTCCACAAGTAGTTGCTTCCTTGCCACCAACAAGGATGGAACCATCTGGAAGTTTGTAGAATGAGCCCAGAAGGGTGTCGGCAGTAAAAGGAATAGGCTGCAACATAGTGTGTAAAACGCATTAAAATATAAGAAGAGAAATAGATTAGAGCTAAACTATGAATAAAAGAAGAAACAAAGCATAAATTAACGGTACCTCTACTTTATCCCCATTGACCTGGTAAAGTCCACCATCTAATGATGGGATCAGACCAACGTGTTTGGCCATCTGAACAAACAAATTGGGTAAAAGATAATAACTTTAGGCGTAAAATAGCATTAAAACATGATCTTATGTTAGGATGTTAGCTTATAGATCTTGTAGAGATCCAGTGCTCGACTTTCAGAAAAAAATCTTGGGGCCAGCTGGCCCCCAAGTTTTCATTTTTGGTCGCCAGAACAAGTATTCTAGTTGCCAAAAATTATATTTAAGAATTAATGGAATACAATAAACTTAGCATCTTTTACTTAGCCTTAACAGAAAAAGAATGCTTTAGCCTTCCTTTTGAACTTTCTTTCAAACGGTTATCAATTACCAGCAGGTGTTCGGGAAAGTGAGCCCNTAGAAGTCAATAAAATACGGCAGAGCTTTTATTTGGGTCGTCACGCTCAACAGAAATTTGCATAAAGGTGTTTACAAGAAGCTCGAGAAATAGGCGCTGTTCGTTCTCGATTAGCTTAAACTTTTATCAGACTAATCTGCTATCGAGTCCGCAATCGAGATACATGTTCGTCATAAAGAAATTGTTTTTAATCGATGTGCTAAAAGTCATTCCCGGAGAAACACGGGACGACCTGTTGAGAATTGCGATCGATTTGCCCGAAAGTCGATAAGACTTCCATCGAATTCATCCCTAGTGATTGTCACAATCCTCTTTCAAGTAAAGTCAAACGTTAGACGGACCAACTGTTAGATCACAAGAACAATCTGTCAGCGTGTTAGAAGAAATCGTTAAAGCGTTTAGACAAATCGTTAGGGGGTTTGAACAAACCATTAGAGCGTTTGGGCAAAACGTTAGTGCCCTGGGCCGAGTTGTTCGAAGCTGGGTTAAGATAACCCAGGGTTAGTGCGAGATTTGAATTCAGATTTGAAAGCTTAAAAAGCATTTCAGTTTTAATTCTTTTTGTCTACAAGTTGATGATTGGAAGCTCTAAAAATAGCACAGAAAATTATCCGAGAAAATGCTCTTGAACACAAAACAAAGAAACCCGGGTTAAGTGCTAATCGGCCTTCGAACAACTGGGCCCTGGGTTCCAGACAATGTTTTTTTCTTATCGATACTGATGGTGCGCAGCGAAGCCACGTCAACGACGTGCGACGCGCCGAGGAGAAAAAATGACTTATCAAACCGTACGCACGGTTTGTTTCATATTAGGTATTTTGAGAACGGACCCCTGAAGCGAGGGTAGCAAAACGTTAGAGCGTCAGAAAAACCGTTAGCTATCCGTTAGTTTTGTAAAGGATAACAGCTTATCATTAGTGTACGTTTTCTCAAAGAAGAAAGTCACCTATCGTGGGGGCCAGGTTGGTGACCAGGCGTGAAAATTTAGTCGCCACTGAGTAAAAGCTGGTCGCATTGGCGACCCCACAGGTCGCAACGTCGAGCCCTGCAGATCACGACGAAAAATATGCTAACAGCAAAACAGGTTTGACCATTACCGATTGTTATTGACAGAAAGTTTTACCAGTCCAACTTTCTGGGGATTCCCACATAATCCGGGCGCAACGCTACATTCCCCCTTGGGAAACATAAATGCCCACAAATAAGTTCAGCTGATTGTACTCTGTAAACAATTGGCTCCTTTAACAACTAATTCACGGTCTTAAAGTATTAAATAAATAACATAAATAAAACACACCTGAATTGAACTGAGACTTGAGGACAGCAGTGGACCGTGAAAGGCAGGCAAAGACCACAATAGTTTTCCATTTTCCCGTGTATCCAACGCGCTGACACGTCCGTCCAGCGTACTCACAAGAACAAGCGAACTAATAAAAGGTTAGAGACGATGAGAATAGATAATAAAACTTGCAGAGACTTTCCCCTAAAGGTTTGTTTTCCCTTACCGATAACTGCTCCCAGTAGACAGACCGCTTGAATTTTCGCTTTCCAATGTCCCTTCCACAGAAATCAACGCCGCCATAAATGCGACAAATTTCAAAGCTGCATAAGCATGAAGGGAGGTCATCCTCCTAAAGGAGCATTTTTTGGTTTTGTTTTTGCTGAGCAGAAGCCAGAAAACCTCCTTTCTCCTCCCCGTCAACCTAAAATAACCTTCTAAGCATCTTTGTAGCGTGTATACTTGAGACAACGTCCGCCATATTTGTTGTCAGCATTCTAAGATACTCTCTGATTGGCTTGGAAATAAAGGTGACGTCATCCATATGTTATCTGCGCAGCTGCAGGGAGACGTGGCGATTTGACAGAGGCCTGGATAGGTTTTGCTGAGGAAAGCGTTTTATTTTTGTTTTTTCACCATATCCGATAAGTGTTCGAACTTTCTAGAATATGTATCATAGTTGAAGCACTGATGCATTCACTAGTTTTAACCAAAAAAATAAAATTCCCAAGCTTTCTTTTTTACGCTCTCGTCCTAGGCGTAGTTCGTGCCTGGAGTTCGTGGAAGGATAAGCCAATATATTTTTTTCAAAGGCACGATTTCTTGCCCATAAGGGTGTAACTTTAATCTTGGACAGAATAAACCCCAACCCTTTAAACCAAGGATGATACCGCGCGAAGGCCAAAACGCCCCATTTTCTCATTCTTGATGTTTTTTAAGCAGGGAGTGGGGGGTGGGGGTTGGGAGGTCATACATAGTCTGGAATGTCATACGTCTCCACCCCCTTCTCTTTAATTTTGTCTAAGATTGTAGGCTTAAAAATCTTGGCTTCATTCAAAGACCCTTAGTCAGTTATACTAGAGGACTGAGTGTCAATGAGACATTGATTCATGTGTCAAGCAGAAAAAAAAAATGCACTGAACCATTTCAATACTGTGCTTATATATGCAACACATTCAAATTTAGCCAGTGCTTATTTCAGTGTTCCGTAACCGGTGCAGGATCCAGGGGAGGGGCCCGGGGTCTCCGCCCCCACCCCCTTATTTTTAGATCAGACTAAGGCCCGAAGGGCCGAAAAAATATTTTTCGGAGGACCCTCTCCCCCGCCTCCTCCTCTCCCCCCCTCCCCCTCGATTTTATTTCTACTGCATTTTCCACAGCTGAAAATTTCAATCCTAGATTTCCCTAGTCGGCCCTGTTCCCTCTGAAAACAGATCGAGTTACAGACTCAGAGACTCAGAGACAAAATCTCGCAGGCCGAGCAGGAGAGGATTTCCCCTAGGATTTCACTTCAGTCGCTTTTTTTTAGCGTTAGCTCAGAGCAAAATAACTACTTGTGATCTAAAGTGGGTTGCAATTAACAGATCTTTATTTTCTTATTGCTACGGTAAATAGAAGACGCTAATTATACAATGGAAAACCGAGTTTGATTGGTTCGCTTTTGCTTGTTTGATTTTTTAAGAAGTAACGTTCCCTTATTATACTCTAGTTTAGATTATGAATCGCAAAGGATGTTTTTTTTATCCAGTGATGCCACTGATGATCGTTGGCACATCTACCAAAAGCATTCTTCTTACAACAAGACCAAGTACCTCTTGACGTGAAAATCAAAGTCTTCAGGTAAATTAGGTTCTTATTCATAGATTTAGTCAACCGCCTTGTTTTATACCAGCTACCATTAATTTTTTTCAAATCAGTGATAGATAGTACACATTACTTAGGATTTATACACGACAAAATTGGTGTAAAGAGCGTTGTTTCCACAAAAACTAACAAATAAGGGAACTCAGTGCTCATATCAGGGTTCACAACTAAGTTCACGTTTTAACTTCGGTCTTAGTATTCAGTAGCCTGATTCTCAGATGTCCGAGTTCGTTCGCGGTCCCTTTCGCTTCCCTCCCTCGACCTCGGACGTCTGAGAATCAGGCTAAGTATTCAGTTGTCATTGTTTTGAGACCCTGTTGGTACATTGTTACCAGGTTGAAAGTTTCCTCTGGTCTTAAACTTAAACCCAAAAATAAACTGCTCACAGGGGACTGAACGACTTGACAACGTCAGGAAAATCATTTTTCAGCATTTACAATCACCGCCAGAACTCTCGTCAAAGAGCGCCAGTTCGGTCCTCAAAAGAAAAGACCGAAAAACAGCGTTTGAAACAATACTATAAATATTCACAAAAAATAATAACAGGTGGTCGTAAATGATTTTTTCAGAATTATACTTGAAATATTCATGAATTCATTTATACTCTCGCTGGATGATAGTAATTAAAATTGCCCCCTACGATCATTTAACAAAACAGGCCTTATATCGAAAGCGCCTAACTGACCTCCCAATTTTCAGTGACGAGTGTTTCTTGCCATTCTGAAATCTGGAGCTGCGTTTTCACGTTTCATAAAATGTCCGATAAATTTGTCCCCGAAAAGCCCTAATCGGGCCAAATGTTTTCAAGACAGATTGCGCAGATTTTTTAGAAAGTTGAAATAAACAAACAAAAATAGAGTAGGTCTTCTACACTGTGACTTTTCCTCTATCGGCATCACTGATCCCGATCAAACTGGAATTTAGACTCTTATTTATGAGCCCATTTCAAAGACATCGAACACCACTTGCCGAATGTTTAGGGTCAACGAACTCATGAATAACCAATTTCAGTTAATTTAAAGTCTGAAACAGGCCGTGATTATTAGCTAGCTTATGGACTAAAATCTACAGACTGAGCCGTTAAACAGAAAGGGTTTCGAAATTGGAATTGCCTTCAAATCACTTTTCGGAACCATTTTAGTAATGGGTTTAGCTTTATTTTTAATGTAGATGGATGAAATATCTGTTGACTCGCATCATAAGCCCAACAACTTGGATAAACTTGATTTGAGGCCTACTTCCAAAGTAGACTGTTCGCTGGAGTGTTCACTGGATTGGAGGAACAATTCATATGGGAGAAAACTTGCTCTTCGTGCAAGCCTGCGATACACAGGAGAGGATGACCAGTGGCAGATCAATCACAGTTCACTTCGGGAAAGAAACAAATACATGTTTAATCGCGAACTGTTTAGTGATGTACGATTCCTTGTTGGAAGGGCTGACAAGACGTCCATACCGGCACATCGCTATATTCTTGCTATCAGCAGTCCGGTGTTCTCGTCGCTTTTCTACGCGTTCGGAGCACTTCAGCTGGAACAAACAAGAGAACAGGTAAAGAGCGATGAAAAAAAAAAATCATTAAATGAGGACCTACATTATAAGGTTGCCTTGTAAATAAAGCTGTTCAGCCGTACAGAACAGTGTCTGGTGTTTAATCTGAAAACGGTTTTGTACGAGTCGCTTAAAGTGGATACGGAATTGTTCATAAAAAAGTAATAATAATAAAAATCAAACAACCTTTCAGATCAAAATATGGCGAGTATTCTAAATTGGCTTCATTTGCACGACATATGTTGCAGTAACAAATGTTGCACTAAAATTGACCCACAACGTGCTTTTAATTTTACTTCTTCTCGCCCGCCGTGGACGCCCCTTAAACGTTACTGATTTGTGTTTTGCTAGTTTAAGACCATTAAACTAGCCTAACCGGAACCGCCGAAAAAATTCAGAGAGATTTGCTAGTTTCTGATTGGTGAATAAATGAGAAATATCAGGAGATAAAGTTAGGACCTTAAAACTGGAAAATTAGAGTCCTTCTTATGGTTTCAAACCCATCATGCAAGACATCAAAAACATGCACCTTTTGTTTCAGATCTCACGACTAATCGTCTCTCTTTGTAGATTGAAGTTTCCGAGTGTGAACCCGACGCCTTTCTAGAGATGCTCCGGTACATGTATTACGATGAAGTTCAGCTGACCACATGTAACGTCCCAGAAGTGCTGTTCCTGGCCCAAAAATACCTCATTCCAAGCCTGGCTAAAATCTGCACTGAATTCGTTGAGAACAACTTAACCGTGGAGAATACCCTGCCAGTGTTGGATCACTGTTTTCTTCTTGGTGTCAGCAAAGGCCTCGAGAAACAATGTTGGTCAATTATTGATAAACACGCTTCTGAAGTGGCCGAGCATAATCAATTTCTTGACATTGACCATGGCACGCTGACCGCCCTTTTATCACGTGACACACTGGTTGCTAAGGAGATGGTACTTTTTCGTGCGGCTGTAAAGTGGGCGGGACACGAGTGTCAGCGTCTGTCAATTCCACTGACAGTTGAGAATAAACGCAAGGTTCTTGGAGATGCTTTCCACTCCATTCGTTTCCCCTTGATGAGTATGAAAGAATTCACTGACGAGGTGGCGCAATCGTCTTTCCTGAGCCACGAAGAAGTAGCTAATATGTATATCGGCTTTAACTCCAGCTTTGAATCGTGCAAAGTAAAGTTCCCAACAGAGCCACGCGCCAAACCTGCCCATCACCAGCTCCAAGAGCCAGTCCTTCGCTGCTCGCGGTTTGAGTCTAACGCTCTACGCCCGAAGTTGTCAACAGAGGCTCTAGCTCAACAATCCACCGTCAAATTTAAGGTCAACAGATCTATTAGAATCACGGGAGTAGCGCTTTTTACAACTTTCACCAACACGTCTCAGCTGTTCCAAATTGAGTTACGTGACAAAGTGGTTCTCTGTTGATGTCACACCGCGCAGATCTTACGAATCGTGGTAGTGAGAGCGAAATTCACGACATCTTTTTTACTAAAAGGGTCAAACTCGAAAGGGATGTCGTTTATTCAATCTCTGTGGTCTCTGGAGATCTCCCGGTACGATATGGGAAGGGGCCGATTAAAGAAGTTACCTGTGGAGGCGTCAAATTTGAGTTCCTGGACCCTGATTCTGATCACGAAAAAGAGAAAGACCAAATACCTGAGCTTCTATTTAAACCTCTCGAAGAAGGGACATTAGTTTAAATTATTTGTAATAACAGCCTGCCAAAACTAGACTACGAGCAGTCTCTCTTTTTTCTGGTCCGTCGAGCAAAACGCCTGAGACGAGCAAATGACCACACGCGTGACTGAAGACGCGAGAGGGGAGAGGCACGGGAGAGACAGGAGAGACTCTTTTTTCTTCTCGGGCTTCCGCTCTCGTTTCTTGCGTCTCGCGGCTTCGCCGCTCAACGCTCGCGCCCGCGTGCACTCCCCTCGCTAAATCTGAAGAAAAAGAGAGACTGCTCGCAGTCTAGCCAAAACAGCCGTTTTTCCTGCGAAAACAGCCGTTTTTCCCCGCTCCTCGCCCCGTACCCAGCGGTGAGGAGCAAGAAGAAACGTCTGTTTTGGCAGGCCGCTATTGTACTAAGAGTGAGTAAAAATACTCTTTCAAGTAGTTATCTGCACCTACA